GCACGGTCCTGGTGCGCTTCTACCTTCCCGCAGCAAAACTTATCATGCCACCCCACACTGCCTTTGGTCAGCATCGCAAGGCCAGCGTATCTATGCTTCCTAGTGTGCTGGTGGCATTGGTAAACGTCTAGCACACCTTGGTAATCTGTGGTGATGTGAGCGATCGAGCGGGGGGAAGAGGCCGAGACTGCAGCAAGCACAGCAAGATGCTCAGCCGAGGGAGAAGACTGGGGAAGGTGGCTGCCTACGGGGCCGTACAGGGCTCCCTCCAGCTATCTTTGATCATCGATCGCTACTGCAGCAAAACCTGACGCATGAAATTCTGGGTGACCTTGCTTTAGGCAGGACCCGTCAGTATAAACTTGCCGTTGAAGCCCTCCCGGGGCCCTCGGCCCCCAACCCTACTCCAAAACTTGACTTTGTCCGAATTCGCCCCGATGCCGATGGGGGGGCAAACCGAAAAACCTGGCTTCTCTAGGAAGCCCGCTTGGAGAGGAATCCCAGACATGTCCTGGAAACGCTCGCGATCGAATTGGGAGAATATTTCGGAACGGGGGGCTTCAGTTTGGGGGCAACTCGCGAGCCTGTGGCGGAGGTCGTCTGAGGGATGCCCGCATTCGCATTCAGGTTGAGCTGGGTATCCTGCTTTTTTCAAACACGTCATCGTCCAGCTCCCCTGGGTGAGGAAGGCCTTTAGGGTTACCTTCTCAGAGCTGGTGAGGGAGGCCGACTTGAGCACCTCCTGCGCTGTCCCTGCGTCGATCTGGCCGTCGAGGCCGAGCTTCCTGGCTGCCTGGGTACATAGCTGCTGAGACCAAGCTTCCTGGAGCCAGTGCTGAAGCAATGACGGTGACGGTGTTGTAAGAAAATGTTGATGTTCCCTACAGTCGCAAACAACGAAGGAGTTCACAAATCTCCATTCAAGTCGTTTAGCACGCAGTATCGCAGCTCCAAAGGTTCCTCTGCACTGGCTCCATTTGGCTGGCGGCTGACTGAGGAATGCTGCTGCCATTGCACGAAGGACAGGAAGATTAAAGCCTGGGGCGTGACCTCTATTCATCGCCCGCCACACTAGCATGGACCACAACATGATAGGACCCACTCCTGGCCTCCAGCACGGATCCCCCAGTAAACATAATGCTAGGGTAGATGATCAAGTGGTTGTGCCTGGTCCAGTTATTTGCAGAAGTAGGTTCCTGGAAACTCTAAGTTCGACATCATCTAGTCCCAACACCTCCGGACCGTAGAACTGCGCTTGACCAAACCCAGTGTCATGAAGCTTAAGTGTGTCAGTTCCAGCTCAATGAAGGGTTCTGATTTGGGTGGCCCTGCCTTTGTTTCCTGAACTTTTCTCCAAGCTTCGTTTTGTGTACCTCCGTTCCCTCTCTTTTACCAGCTCAAAAATCAATTCCTATGTTAGCCAAGTAGGCAGGTGTAGTACCTGAGCAGCGGCCCACACTCTTGGCGAGCTGCTTCTGCATATCCACTGAAGAGGCGAGCACTGCCGACTTGGATATTGCGATCTCGCATCCAAGCTCATAGCGTACTGCTGCCAGGAGATTTGTTGCTGCTTTGCGTAGGTCCTGGGTCACGGCAGACTTACATTCATGTGAATACAGCAGCAGCAAGTCATCGATGAACATGTGCAGCGACGGCTCGACATTGGACGTCCAGATGCCCAGAGGAGCGATACAATACATCGGGACCAAACAAGTGGCGAGGTTGCAGCCTGCTGGGATACCTAATGAGGGGAGTCCTGCAAATGATGTTTGGTTATTGAGGGTTCTCATTCCCTGGCTGTGGTATTGATTCATGATGATGGACAGGAGGGCCCCAGTGAAGCTTGATGCGAGAGCCATTCCATGAAGCACTGGCCTATCGATATGTTCATAGTAGTTGGTGAGGCCCCACATGATGGAGGCTGCGTGGAGGGAGGTATCCTGCGCAGCGCCGCTCTCTGCCTACAACGCCTACTGGTAAACGAGCTCGAGACTGGACCTGCCTGACTGATGTGCCAGACAATTCCCCCTGTGTGCGCGCTCCGACCTCCTGGCCTCCTGCCCCACCCTTGCCCATATACGATACAAACTCGGCATTCGCCTAATCCCTCGATGGGCTGGCACATCTCCTGACAGCTTGTGCTTGGGGATGAGGCCCGTAATTACGGCCAGCAACTGCGACGGCATGTTCCCCACCCGCTCCACGACGGTGAACACCCGGCAGACCTGCTCCTGCTGCTGGTGGGAAAGAAGCGCAACATGACGAGGTTGCAATACATCCCAAGTCTCTGCAGTCACGTGGCTGAACTTCTTGATGGCTCTTCTGAGACCTTGAGGGGTTATAGGTGGGAGTTCGGCTGGAGCTCGGGGGTCTCCAGAAATCGTTTCTTTTGCCTGGCCCGTAGGTTCCCAACTGTCGTTGAGGTGGCGGACTTCGGCGTACAGCAGCTCAGTAGGGCAGCCCGAGAATGCCCCATCAACTTTCTGAACTTGTGCTGGCCTCCAACGTTGTCTTGCCATGGACCATCTATGGGCCCAGCCGACCCCCTCAGCCATGCGGTCTTTCACCCATTGTTTCCAAGTGGTATTCGCAGTTTGAGATCATTGATAGTTTTCTATATCCAGGAACTGTAGAACTGCTGCGGAAGATCTTCGGGGCCGGCGGATCGGCCGATCTGTGGCCCAGAGTCGGCACTGAGGGTCAATAGTGGTCTCCGCGGAGACGAAAAAGTCGTCATAGAACACTGCCTCGGGCAAGTACTGCATGACAGGGGAACCATGGGAACAACCCGCCGATGTGCAGGAGGACACCCGGCGGCGCCGCAGCGCCCGGTGCCCCCGAGGGGGCCGCGCCCCCGCGCGTGGGCCCGTGGGCCCCAACTGTACGCGCGGAGGGCGCACCGAGCTCCCCGCCGATGAACAAGGCGACGCTCGGGACGAAGCATAACGCAATCTCAGACACCCAGCAGCACGCAGCTCGACACAATACACCACCTGCGTCGGCCCGCCCAGCACGCGACCGTATAGACGACCGCAGAGGACACACCAAAGGCATGGGTCCTCAACACGCTCCTCACCCCCAGCAGCAGCCTGCCGGCTCAATTCGATAGACGCGGATTACTCATGCTCTATACGCTCTCAAGTGGCACACATGGCTACGGCACCACCCGCTGCTGGTTACTCTGGACTCGTAGCACGCCCAGGTCATTTGAGCACCGCCGCTCCCTCTCGTTCACCGTGCGCAGCGCACTTGTGGGGCGCCGGGAAGCGGCGACGCCGGATGAGGTTGACGGCGCCGGGTTCGAGAACACAATGTAGGCATAGCCAAGACACATACGCACGGATATTTTGGTGCCGCTCCACGCCTCGCCCTGCTGTAACAGACGTCGACGTTCTGGCTGAGGACGGTTCCCACGACCAAAAAGATAAAGACGGGAGAGCCACTCGATTCTGTAATTGAGAGCCTCCCGCCCAATCGACAAAATTCCTGACCGTGACTCTGGGGGTGTAGGACAGTAAACGGGCCACTCCTACGGCAGAGTGCCGGACGTATTATGCACCTTGTGCAACGCGCGCTGCTGTTCGTCGGCGCCGCCGGAGGTCGGCCAAAATGGCCTGGGATCTCGGCCACGACGCTTCTCTCGGCACCTGGTAGAGGTAGCAGCAGCCGAGGAACTGTAGAACTAGTTCATGCTGTTCTCGAACTATCATGATAAGCTTCGGACATACCTCCTGGCCTCAATACCTGCGCATCCTGCTGCAGCGCCTCGGCGAGGCGGCGGAAGTGGCTGAGCATGTCGCCAAGCTCGCTGGACGCTTGAAACTCTGCCGGCGGCTCCGACAGCGACTGCAACAGCTCAGGGAGCGTTGGCGCGTCTTTGCGGGACAAGACACGGTTCGCCTCTAGTGTATGGTTGAGAAGCCAACGGGTCGTGCTCAAACAGATTTCCATTCAGCTCGATGTTGGCTTTCAACAGCATTCGCAGACAACCGAATCAGCTTAGGGGGGGCACTTCGATTTCCTGGCTGACGGAGGGTAGTGTCGGTAGCTCTGCTGACAGTAATTTCCATTTCTGAATATCATACGTTTTATCCAAAGTTGCTTGCTACTGTTGCTGCTGCTGCTGCTCCTCCACTCCAAGGTCCAGGATCTGCTCCGGGGTGTCCAGGGCAGCCTTCGTTTTGTGCCAGGGAGGGCCTCCAGGCAGGGGCCAGATGGGCGCCTTGTAGGGATCTTCTGGGGCTCGCGGAGGGCGGGGATCATGGGCCCGGAGCCTATGCCCAGAGCGAGCTTGACTGGCCTGTGGGGGGAGAGCGCGCACTGCTTCAGCACATTGATCGCCTGCACCGAGCCTTTGATGCAGGAGCTTAGCATGAAATAAGCAATCTTGCTGCGCGCCTCACTGGTGAAACAAATAAAACATACCCTGACGGATGCACAAGCTCCAGACCTGCACGCTCCGTAACTCCTGATTTTAATACACACGATGGCGCCATGTTGAAATCGCCCCCCCCCCCCATCAGAACAGGCATTCGATAATTCTGCTGGCACCAGCCTGCCGTTGCAAGTAGATGCAGGTTCGTGTCGCCGAGGCCCTCTGTGACCTTAAAGTAGCAAGAAGCAAAGACAATGGGCTTGTGTCCAGGTATTTCCAGTATGGCTGCTGATGATCTGACCGATGCAATATATTTCGGGAGCGGCGCTGGCTGCACCCCAATGCTCATCCCTTTCTTGATCAGAATGCAAGTGCCACTGGAAGGATACTGATTCCCGCTACAATCGCACTCTGAGAACATGGCATTCCAACCTCTTTTTTTCCATACCACACAACTGCTTGGGACGCCTTCTCACCTGAAAGCTTGACTTCCTGCGCAAGGATGACTCCAGCCTGTTCACCTTCAGGAGATTGAACTAACTTCTGCACTGCGTTCCAACATCTCCCGTTGATGGTGATGACGTCCATGGGCTTGGGCCTGTTGCCCTGTCGACTGCCCTGCCGCCTGCGAGCCCTTGCTGGCGCCCTTGGCCACTGTGACCGCCTGCGCTGCCAGGAGCGCTGACTTGGCCTTCTTGGCGCGCTCGTCGTTGTCCGACTTCGGGATGGAGTCCAGGACCTGCAGGATCGCGTTGGCCTCGCTCGCGAGCCTCTTGCTGTTCGGGTCGGCGCGCGCATCCATCTGCCCGCTGGGGATGCTCCGCGCCCCCAGGCCGAGGGGAAGGCCCATGGCGAGCGCAGCGTCCTTCTCCTCACCTCCAGCAGCCGCACGCTCTGGGGACGGCGGTGCGCCCGCCGTCGCTGTCGGCGCAGGCGGCGGCTGCTGGGGCTTTGGATTATGTTGCTGCTGATTTCGCTCTGGGGCGGAGCCTGGCTGCGCCTGCGCCTGCTGCTGCTGCTGCTGCGCTGCCACCGCCTCCTTGATGCTGGCCTCCAGGGTGGCCACCTGCTGATGGGTGAATGCTGGAACTCCCGTGACTGGTCCCACTTGAAGCTGCCCGATAAGTTGCGTGAGTGACGGACAAGGAGACGGCGTCTCTGTTGGCTTTGAACTTTGAAATTGTTGATGCCATTGAGTGTACCGTGACCGCCAGCTGAGCCTCGAGCTGCTGGATCTCGATCGCAGCGGTTACCATGTTCTTTTGAGGCTCCTCGTCCTCCTCAGCCAGCGTGGTAATCTGCTCGAACTCCTCTTCCGAGGACCCCTTTCTGCTTCTCGACCTTGCTTTTGATGGTGGCGATCTGATATATGAGTGATTGCGCCTGCTGGTCGAGAGGTTTCGACGAAAGGTTCTCCTGCTTGGCGATCTTGCGCTTCTGGACTGCATCGTTGTAGTTGGGGCCCATCGGGCCTTCGTGCCCCTTCCAGAACTGGACGAGATCCTGCGCCGTCTGAATCGTGTCGATCCTCTCTTCCGTGGAATCTTCTTTGTCCTGTGTCTGCTGCTGCGCTGCTTGTGACATGCCGTTGCCGTTGCCATTCCCTGGTCGAATGCCTTTTGACTGACGGCTTTTGTCCTTCAGTGGTTGGCTCCAGCAGGGGTGGGAGGCTTGGGTTGATTGGCGCCCATGCCCTTGCCACGCCCTTGCCATTTGGTTCCACAGGTGCCGCAGAACTTGGAGCCATCGTCACAGTAGTCCCAGCCCTTGCACTGTGCGTGATGGCAGACGAAGTATTATCGTTGACTACGGTGGTAGCCGCCTCCCCTCTTCCATTGAGCAACTCCCATGACTGCGCGCGCCCGAAGATTCCAACCGCCTGAATCAAAGTAAGCGCTGCAGAGGCTCTGCCGAGAGGAGGAATGATTGCGACACTGAGGCTTCGCTGGAAGCCTGGGATGGTGTCTGGCTCCCCTGAGCCAGAACGGCTTGAGCCAGGAGGAGGAGGAGGAGGAGGAGGAGGAGGAGGAGGAGGAGGAGGAGGCCTCTTGGGCGCCTCTTGGGGCACTCTTGGGGCCTGCTGGGAGCTTCCTGGGGGCCTTTTGGAGGGTTTGGGGGGGCCTTTGGGGACTTCTTGTGGGCCTCTTTGGCCGTCTTAGGGTGTTCCTGGCTTGTCTTACGCCGTCGGAAGCCGTCTTGGGGGCCTGTCTGGCATATCAGGTGTTCTTAGAGGCCATTTTGGGCGTCTTGGAGGCGTCTTGGGCCGTTTTGAGGCCCTCTTGGGGCCGTCTTGGGGGCCTTTTGGGGTGTCATGGGGCCATCTTGGAGGCCTCTTGGGCGATCTTGGGGCCCTCTTGCGCCGTATTGAGCCGTCGGAATGCGGAGAAGAAACAAGTGCCAAAATCCTTCAAAAACCTTAGGGAAATCAATAATTTGGTCTCGTCGTGCCCTCCTGGAAGATCTCCGGGACTCCTTTTGGGCAGTCTTGGAGGCCTCTTGGGGCCTCTTGGGCCGTCTTGGACCATCTTGACGCCATCTTAGGCCGTCTTGGGTGCATCTTGGGCCGTCTTGGAGGCATCTCGGGGCCATCTCAGCCGTCTTGGAGGCCATTTTGGCCGTCTTGGAAGCCTCGTGGGCCCTCTTGGGGCCGTCTTGGAGGCCTCGTGGGCGGTCTTGGGGGCCTCTTGGGCCGTCTTGAGCCGTCGGAATGCCGAAAAGAAGCAAATGTCAAAATCCTTCACAAACCAAAGGAAAATCAATGATTTGGCCTCTTCGTGCCCTCCTGGAGGACCTCTTGGGGGCCTCTTGGGCCGTCTTGGAGGCATCTTGGGGGCCTCTTGGGCCGTCTTGGGGCCATCCGGAGGCCATCTCAGGCCGTCTTGGGTGCATCTTGGGCCGTCTTGGAGGCATCTTGGGGCCATCTGAGCCGTCTCGGAGGCCATCTTGGGCGTCTTGGAGGCGTCTTGGGCCGTTTTGGGGCCCTCTTGGGGCCGTCTTGGGGCCTTTTGGGGTGTCATGGGGCCATCTTGGAGGCCTCGTGGGCGATCTTGGGGCCCTCTTGGGCCGTCTTCAGCCGTCGGAAGGCCGAGAACACGCAAATGCCAAAACCCTTCCAAAAACCTACGGAAAACCAGTGATGTTGGCCTCTTCGGGCCCTCCTGGAGGACCTCTTGGAGGCCTCTTGGGTCGTGTTGGGTCGTCTTGGAGGCTTCTTGGGCGAACCTGGAGGTATCTTGGACTCTCTTGGGCCGTCTTGGACGCCGTCTGGGACCATCTAGGACCATCTTGGAGGCCATCTTGGGCCAACGTCGCCATCTTGGAGGCCATCTTAAGCCGTCTTGGAGGATTTTAGGGGGGATGGAGATCCCTTTCGGGTGGCCGGCGGGACGGGCCGAAGCCCTAGGGGGAGTTCTCTTGGAAAAAGAACCAACACCCAAACCGAAAGGGTCTAGCACGTCGGGCACCCCTGTGGCAATCCAACAGGGGGCGGCGGACACTACTGGCCTTCGGCCCATCCCGCCACCGTGCTTGCCTCGGGGCCCTCTTGGCCCGTTTCTAGCCCTCTTGGGCCCGAAGAAGTCACGCGAGAAGGGTCGCCAGGGCCATGGAGGCACGCCGGGAGCCTTAGTAGATTTAGGAATTTGGGGCACGGACCCCTAAGTTGTTCAATCCTGAGGACTGAGGACTACAGAGGAACTGAGGACATCTCATACTCGTGCAACGCGGCACGGTGGTGGACCTGGAGGCCGACGTGGTCGTGTTCGCCAGGAGCAGGCAGGTGGTACCGAATCCGTGGCCGAGAGGTCCGAAGTGGGGATTCATCCATGACCACCGCCTGGCGGGTTGAGCTTCGGGACCTCGACAGGCAGCGGATGTTGATATCTTTTGGCCCGGGGGCGGCCAAATGCGTTCCCATCCACCGCCCGCCGACGCCCCCCAAGATCGACCCCGAAGGGCGGTAGTTATGGACACGTCCTCGCCTCTCGAGAGGGGAGCGGCGCGCTGGCGTGGAGTGGGACTGGCACGTCACAGACTTCAAAGAGCCAGAGGGGCAGGCACGCGGGACTGCAACCTGGATTGGCGACGAGTTCAGTGGCGAGCTAAAGGATGATCGCGAGCAGGTCGTGGCCCAGGCGGCGGCGGGGAGGACCCCTCAGTGGAGCATGGCCGGTGGGGAGCGGCAGCTCTGCGCCACGGTGCGGATCACGGAGTCTTGCCGGAAGGTGGTGGGCGGTCGAAGCCGAAGCGTCCCCTCAGCAAGCCCTCAGCAAGAAGCAAGGGGGTCTTGGAGGATCGGGAAGCTGGAGATTTCCCCCCATGTTGGTCCACTGGGGCCTCAGTCCTGGCTCCGTCAACCGAAACAGCTGAGGACAACACGCCAAGCGTGCGGAGCGCCCCGGGTTCCGAAGATCCGCTCCCGCCAGGGCCCCGCTGCCTCATGCTGCACAGCACCCTTAGCAAGTCGGCACCGCCTGCCCGCCCTGTGGGTTCCCCAACTGGCCGCCCGCCTGCATTCTGGAGGGGGCGGCGGGGGTCAGGGGGGCACGCGTCGACCCCCAATCGCCCCTTGATCGCTGATAGGGGCCTCGTTAGCTCCACCTCGCCTGGGGGCGTGCGGATTCGCCATCGGGTGCCAATCGCCGATCTTTCGGCGACGTATCGCTGATTCAAGCTCGTTGCTTCCCCCCATGAGCCACCACCACCACAACCAAAACTGAGCAGAGCATCCGGCAGGACGCGTGGGCAGAAGAGCGCGCAAGTGGCAATCCTTCGATTCTTCGGAGAATGCGAGAGGCAGAGAACGAACAGGAAGAGGAGGACAAGACAAGGTATACCTCAGATGAGCTGCGCCATCTGATTCTCTTATTCACTTGGGAAGCCCACTGCTGCCTGAGCCAGTCACGCCCTAACGTTGCCCCTCAGGGGGGGGGGAGGGGGGGGCACGGCAGGGGGTCGTCGCGGAAGTGGGCGACCGAGCCGCGTCCCGAGAAGGTGGAGGAGGCGTTCGAGTATCCGTTCGACGGAACCTCCACCACCACCTTGCACTCCATCCGCGACATCGGTGCCCTCATCGGCCCTGCCGGCCAGAAGTCCAGGAGCCCAAGCGTTGCCGCCGTTGTTGATTCGATTAGTAGAGAACGGTTTCGTTCGCGTTTGCTCCCCACACCGTTGGTTCGTGTCCACAGCAAGTAGGTCCATATCTCGTCTCAGTCGCTTCACGCAGGCATGCCGCACTAACTCTGAATATGATGTTTGACACTTCAGGTTGATGGCGGGCGTGGGCTTGACGGCCTCAGCCCTGCAAGGCCTTACGGCTTGCCAGGCCCTGGGGAGCCGAGATTGCCGCAAGAGGTCCTTGTGAGCACCACAACGGACCCCTTTTTTTTTTTCTCTCTCTCTCTCTCTCTTTCTCTGCCTTGCCCTTGACCGTCGCCGTCCTCCCTCCCTCGCCCTCCGTCCCTGCCTCCATCCCTCCCCTTCTCATCGGACCCTCCTCCTCCTCCCCGCTCTCGATTCCCTCTTCCCCTCCCCATCGTCGCTCCCCATTCTCTCTCGAACTGCTTCTCCGTCTGTCTTCCTCTCCTCTCCGCTTTGCTCTCCAGCCTCTCTTCCCCTCGCTCCTTCCTCCCGTGATCCCCTCGTCCTCGGGGTTATGTTATGGGTTGTGGTTGTTGATTTGCGTTCCTGGAACTTGTGGCGTAGGGTAGCGGACCGGTTCGGATTCTTTACATAGGCGTAGAACCACTTATCGGGTGATAAGGATGCCTGGTGGAATGACACGGCTTTCGGATTGCGATGGTCCCGCATCTGTCATATTGAGAACCGATATGAAGGGCATTTAGCTTATCCCGTCGCCGTGCCTGGGTCGTGGATCAGAGGCCTTTTGGAAGGCTCTGGGAGTCTCTCTGGGGGCCTCTTGGGGGCCTCTTGGGGGCCTCTTGAGGGCCCCAGGTGCGCATCGTGGGCCCTCTTGCGCCATCTCCGAAAGGCTTGCGGCCCTTTGGGGGATCTCTTGGGCTGTCTTGACGCCATCTTGGGGCACTTGTGGGGTGCCCTGTGCTCCTCCAGAGGCCGTGTTGAGCCGTCTTGGGAGCCATCTTGGGACGTTCTGTATCGTCTTCGGGGCCCTCTTGGGCAGTCCTGGAGCTCTCCTAAACAGCCATGCTCAGCCGAGTAGCCGAACAGGCAAAACAGCGCAATTGTCTCGGCCAGCCCCATGGTTCCAGAAGAGGGGCTCGGCCCCCTTCGTTGATTCCCCTCGCCCGCCTCCCTGGACGCCGCCGACGGCGAGCGCGCACACGGCTTCGGCGGGGCCTCTGAACCGCAGAGGAAGGAGAAGAAATCAGACGCCGTTCACGTCAGAGGTGCATTGACAAGGTGGTGAAACGAGCCGCTATGATACAGTTGTGGCGGCTCTGCTGTGGAAAAGAAACGAACTTACGGGAACGAGCACTCTTATGCCAGGGTGCCTGCGGATCTCGAAACAAGATTGAAAACACTTGCACAGCCAGGGCAGAGACCAAAGGCGAGGGGCACACGAAGTACAGAGCTCCGCGCGGATTGCCTGGATCTGCGCTGAGCCCCCCCCCCCCCCTGGCGGCGCTTCCGGCGCCGCCGCTGGCGCGCTCCGCACGCCAGGGAAGGGGGTCCAGCGCCAATCCAAGGAATCCTCGCAGAATTCCGCTAGTTTTTAATTGTGCAGTTGTTTCTTTCTTAACTGCGAGCCCGGCCCTCAGAGCCTAGGATCATCGTCCTCACGGGGCCTAGCGGCAGCGGCAAGACCTCGGAGTTGCGGCGCCTGGTCGGCGAGCTGGGGCTGAGCGCGAACTTCTCGGGGGTTGCCGAAGGCGTCCCTGGCCAAAGGCGGTTCCAGCTTTTCGCTGCATTTTGCTGCCCCATGCCAATGATCCTCAGGACGTTTGTTCGCCGAGTTGGTGTGTGTGTGTGTGCGTGTGCGTGCGTGCGTTTGTGTGTTAACCTGTTCGGCCATCATCACATCGGCTGTATCGTCTTGAACGACTAAGCGCAAAATGGCGCTGACACGCAATCTGAGGATCATCGATCCTTAGGCCACTCTGGGCTTCGTGGGGTTGCTCTGGAGGCCGTGTGGACCTTCCTGGACATCCTTGGGACACCCTGCCAGAAATTCTGGCGCCGAGCTTCTATTCAGAATGTGAACGCATTCAGGACCCCACCCCTTTCCCGTCTTCCCATACATTTTTTGACAGTCCCGGGGCCCCGCGAGGGCCCTCAGGCATCGAACATAGCCAAACATTGACCGTCGTGTCGCCTGGAAGAGGCCGTGTGGTGGCGTGCAGGGGACGCACTGAGCCGTCAAACCAACAAATTGTTGCTGCCTGGGGTAGGGTAGGCCTCGTGTATACATGCTGGCCCGGGAAGGGCAGCGTCTGCACGTACGGGCTCGGGCGAAAGCTGCGTGCGCGCGGGCTCGGGGGAATAGCACACAGGCAATTTCCCGTCTCGCAATCTGCTCCAGACGCGAACATGTCTGGGCTGGGCCAGGGGCACGTCTGGCCGCGCCCGAATCTCGGCGCCCTGAGCTGGCACGGCAGCGGCCCGGTGCGGGAGCAGCTCGGCGGCTCGGCCTCGGAGGCGGCGGCGCTGCTGCGGGCGGTGGCCCTCCCGGAGCGGTGCTGGTTGCGCCCGTACGGCGGCCTGAGCTCGGGGGAGCAGAGCCGCGCCGACATCGCGCGCCGCCTGGCCCTCGGAGAGGTCGAAGAAGAGCAATCGACATAACCGGAAGCTTTCGGAGCTCCGCTCGGATTCCCTGGATCGGCGCTGGGGCCCCCTGGCGGCTCCCCCAGCCCCGATCCACGAAATCCACGCGGAGGCCCGAAAGCTTCTGCTCATCTTGTTCTTTCTAACTCTACAGGGCGCCATCGACGAGTTCACCTCGTGCCTGGACCTCGGGGAGGGAGGGGGGGGGGATGCTCGGATGTGCCTCCCGGGTGCCCTCCTGGGGCCCACCAAGCGGGTCTATTCGACTTTGGCTCGACTCGAGTTCGACTCTACGTCGATTCGACTCTAGCACGACTCAAGTTCGATCAAGTGTGACTCGAATTCGACGCAGCATCGACGCATGAGTGGAGCGAGTGGCCCCAGGTCGGTCCCCAGAACGAGCATAAGGATACCAGTGCACCGCTGCTCGATCTGGAGTTCCCTCGTCGCCACGGCCGGATTCACCTCGAGATTCAGGTCGGAACGTGCCCCAGGAGAGGTCCACTTAGCAGCGGCACATCGGTGTTTCTTCGTCTCCCCAGGACCGGGACACGGCCAGGCGCGTCTGCAGTGGCGTGGCCAAGCTCGTGCGCGCCAGGGGCCTGACGCTGTGTGTATCGACCATCTGGCAGGACATCGTTCCTGCGCTGCTCCCCGATATAGTCGCTTCGCGTGGAGCTCGGCCAGACAAACAGTCGCTTCAGCCCAGATGGAGGAGCAACCTGTCTGACGCACCTGCTGTGTGGCTGAAGCCTGCCCCCCATGTCTCCCGAGGAGTTCCTGCCCGTTCGCCTTGACCCCCCTTATGCGGCTTTCGGGCTCTGGATTCCCCTGCGCGTGACCTCGTCCCACGCATCGTCCCTGCCGCTACTTCTCCTGGCTCCATTCCTGCTCCTCGTCCTTCGCATCGTTCCCTCGCCCTCGTCTTATCGTATGTGGTGTTTCTTCTCGTGATGCTCTTGCTCTACCTCTATCAACCCTGCTCCTCATCCTCTCTGTAATTCCAAGGGCACGGGACCTCCAGGTGTCTAAGAATATGGTTTGATCTGGCGTGTTCGTTCTAGTTGTGTTTTGGTGTCGTTATCTTTTCTTCCTCGTCACGTTCTTGATCCTGCGAGTGTGTGTGTGTGTTCACTGCTCAGAGGCTGAAGGCGCCTTAAGAGAACGATGTTCCCATTCGGGATGTTACGAATCGGATTTCGGAACAGTTGATTTGGCTATGTAGGCTCTCTGTAGAGGGCCTCTGTGGGGCGTTTTCTGCATCTACTTGCGTTTGGGGGACCTTGCAGCGACTGGGGGATTCTTCTTCCACTCTGGCGATACCTCCATTGAACCTTCTGTGCCGTGTTGGGGACACCCCGGCTCTCTCTCTCTCTCTCTCTCTGTCTACGGCCGGTTCGCCAGGCTTCCGGCTCCGATGCGCTCCCAGGCCCCTCACAGGAACCTCCATGGCACCAGGGGTCGACCAAGACGTATTGGCAGTCTCTTGGATCCTTTTTGTTTTATTGTAGTTTTCGTGTTATGGTCGCTCTAGTGCCTACCACTTGCCAATCACCCTTCGGATGTTTGTCAACACGCCGTTATGGGCAATCGGACGGACCGCTTTCGAGTTACTACGTCTTACACGAAAACGATGCGAACAATGATAAAGGATGTTTGGTCGACCCCTGTCACGAACCCACGTCCTTGCCGTCACATCGTGAAAAGCGTTCCCCTTCCTTTCCTATGGGAAGGGTTTGAGAAAGGGTAGGCGTCTATCACGCAGGGGCCTCTGGTGCCGTCGGACAGTGTTTACTGGGCAGACACTGGGAAGGTGTGCGAGTTCGTCGGCGCGACGCCCTCTGCTGAAGCTATCGACGCCGCGGCCAAGCCCGCCCAGCACCAGCTGAGCATGTGCGACTCCGCCACCTACGGGACGCACCCAGAGGAGGTGAGTCAGCTCCTGAGGCTCTTTCACCGTCCGCAGACCGCGTTGTGGAAAAGAGAGGGGGAGGAACAGTAGGAGGAGAAGGAGAAGGAGGAGGAGGAGGAGGCGGAGGAGGAGGAGGAGAAGGAGGAGGAGAAGGAGGAGGAGGAGGAGGAGAAGAGGAGGGGAGGAGGAGGGGGAGGAAGAAGGAGGCAGGGAGGAGAAGGAGGAGGAGGAGGAGGAGGAGGAGGAAGAGGAGGGGAGGAGGAGGAGGAGGAGGAGGAGGAGGAGGAGAGGAGGAGGAGGGGGGGGAGGGGGAGGAGGGGGAGGGAGGAGGGGGAGGAGGAGGGGAGGAGGAGGAGGAGGAGGAGGAGGAGGAGGAGGAGGGAGGAGGAGAAAGAAGAGGAGGAGCAGGAGGAGGAAGAGGAGGAAACGAAGAAGGAGGAGGACAGGAAGCGAGGCCCATCCCTCTGCGCGTGAGCGTCTGGCCGCTGGATCTGAAGAAGGGGCGCGAGTGGTGGCAGACGACCTTCCTCGGGGGCGAGCCCGGGGATGGAAGAAGTGAGAAGGAAAAGGCCCTCTCAGAAGCCTGCGGGGCTTCTCAGAAGCCCTCCAGCCTTCTGAGATGTTTCATGTGTCTCCGGTGAAGGCTTAGAACATTTGTCAAATCGGGGGCTTCCGAGACTTCTGAGAAGGCCCACCCCTTCTCTTTTCCCCCCAGACTCGCCGCCGCATTCCACCAGCATCACTATTCGAAGAAGAAAAACAACATGAACATGAGCCTTGGAGGCACTGCGCGGATTTTTTGGATCAGCGCTAGTTCCCCCCTGGCGGCGCTTCCGTCGCCGCCCCTGGCGCGTTCCGCGCCCCAAGGAGGGGGATTCAACGCCGATCCCAGAAATCTGTACATCCGTACGGACCTCCGAAGGTTTATGGGTATGTCGTCTTTTCTTCTTCTAGCTATCTGACAGGCAGCCTCAACTCCGGCGCGAGGGCCGTCCTGGTGCGCGAAGTGGAGACACAGACACCCATCGCCTTCCACAGCATCATCCTGATGTGCGGAGGACTGCGGCGGCGCGCGGGGATGGGCGGGGCGAGGGGGGGGCCCTCTGAGCGCGGGGGCTTTTTGAAGCCATTCGGCCTTTTGAGCAGACATCTCCGAAGCCCCCCGGACCTTCTGCGGAGCCCGCTGCCCCTCTCAGAAGGCCACCCCCTCGCCCCACCCGTCCCTGCGCGCCGCCAAGGATACAACGGTGGCATCAGTTATCTGGAGCACCGGCTGGTGGTTCTCCCGGACTACCAGGGCTGGGGGCTGGGGCCCGCTCTGTCAGAGAAGGTGGGCGCTCTCCTCTTGCACGCTGGGCGGCGCTTCTTTGCCACGACCTCCCACCCGCGGTTGCGCGACAGCAGGCATCGGCCGCGGGCGCAAGGGGTCGGGGCGAGGGGCCGGCCTTGAAAGAAAGCAGGATTCTGTTTCCCAGAAGAGTTCAAAAGCCTTCGATATATTTTGCAAGATGGGTAGAGGGCTCCTCAGAAGCCCCCCGCCCTCTATAAAAAGGCCACCCCCCCTTGCCCCACGCCCGTGTGCGCGCCGCAGAAGGCAGAAGCGCCAATCCCTGTGGAGGGAGAGCTCCGACAGCGGTGCCCTGACGAAGAAGCTCAAGTGGAAGAGGCCCACGGGTGCCCCGACGACGCTGGCGGCGGGCCTGCTGGCGGAGGGGGCCGCCGAGGGCTGCGTGGGCTGCGCGCACGAGCTGGCCGTCGCCCCCGCGGCCGCGCCCCGCCCCGCGGGCGCGGAGGAGGGCGCGAAGGCTGCGGACTCTGGCGCGGCGGCGCAGCCCGTAGAACCCCCGCGCGATGAGGCCTCGCGGGCGGGAAGGTCCAGGGATCTAAGCGTAAGTTTTCGGAGTGCCGCGCGGATTTCCCGGATCGGCGCTGAAGCCTCCTGGGCGCTGCATCCGGCGTCGCCCCTGGCGCGTTCCGCGCTCCAGGGAGGGGGGGTTCCAGCGCCGACCCGGGAAGTCCGCTCGGAGGTCGTGTTGTTCCTCGGAAGGTTGGGGAAGAGCGCCAGCGCGAAGGCCAGCGAGAAGCGCCGTCGGAAGCGGCAGCGGATGGAGCGGCTCCGCGCGGGGGGATTCATCGCGGCGGGCCTCGCGGAGTCGGGGGGCGCCAGCGAGCCATGCCGCCCTCCGGCGTGCACGTGCGGCCGCCTGGCGCAGGCCAGTGCGGAGCCGAGCGCGCAGGCGGAGCCGAGCGCCAAGGCGACGGGCATCCTTCCAGACGGGCTCGACGCAGACGGGATCGGAGGATCGGTATTCTCCACGCCGATAGCCCCCATGCATCGCCGACCGCGCCGATGCATCGCCGATGCATCGCTGATTCATCGGCCATGCATTGGTGATGCGGCGAGATCCTCCGACCCCGTCTACTGGGACCCCTTCACTCGCAGAACAAGAACTGAACAAGCATGATTTGTCGGAGGTCCGCGCGGATTTCGGGCATTGGTGTTGGAGCCCCCTGGCGGCGCCCCCAGCGCGCTCCGCGCGCTGGGGAGTGGGTCAGCGCCGATCCAAGAAATCCGCGCGGTTCTCCAAGGAACATGCTTATGCAGTTTTGTTCCTCTATTATTTCCCTCCATCTGTCTTCTCCCCTCGGGCTGTGTTTCCCCCTGCCCGGCCACGTGGGCAACAGTTTTTGGAGGCCATGGCATCGCATTATTCGACTATGCTGGCCCAGTCGACAGTCCACAGCGTTGTTTGAAATGTTGTGCATGCTCCCCCTGTCTGGGACTTTCGGAGCGCGCGTTCCCCATCCCAGAATCACATGCTTCGGTCGTTGTGCAGATCAGTGCCTTTCGTTTTGTCCCCCTTACTTGCCCCCCCCTTCTCCACCCTGCGGTCGGGAACTTTTCGAAAGCGTGTCGCGCCGCCGGTTCTAGCCCACCGTGCTTCGGCACGTCCCGCGAGGCAGAGCGACACGCTATCCGCACGCAAGGCATAGCGTGTCGCCTGGACCGCCGCCGCGACACGCCGAGCAACAGTGCCTGACCGTAGTGTGTCCCCCTGTGGGCACGTTTCTGATGACTCGGGTGTCGGAGCGTTGAGAAAACATGGGCAAGGGAGCCGCCGTTGTTCCACGGGTGGGGGTAGAACCGAGAGGAAGCAACGCAGCAACACTTGCGTATACCCGAGCCAGCAAGCACTCGGGCGACTTCAGTTGAGGTGTTCCATAAAGGGCCTCGCCTTCGAGGGTCGAAGATGCTGACATGTCTTCCTCGGCGGATGGCCAGCGGTAGCTCGCGGAAGTAAGACGAGGGCGGCTCCGCCCGCGGAAGCTGGCGGAGGTAAATCGGCTTCTCAAAAGATGGCAAGGTTATTTTGATTCAGGGTGTCCAGAGCCCGCCAATTTGATTCGCGTATCCTCGAGGCCTCATGACCTCACCACCTCATTACTTTAATATCCACGTTCCCCCGTACCTCCAACTGGATAATTTCAACAGCTCGCGTTGTCCTCCATGCCTTAGTACACGCAACGCTGTGCCTTGGCAAGCACTACACCAAACACACTTGTGTCTCAGCACGCTCCAGCCTTCCTGCCATGACATTGTTCATCCGAGTGTCGAGGTTGCATACTTCCTTCAGGCTTTACCTCTACGAGTCCAGTCCCATGCGGTAGCACCCAGAACCGCAGAATTTGTTGATACCCTTAACCCGAGTAAGCAATTAAGAACCCCCCCCCCCTCCTCTCCGGCGAAAGTATAACGCATCCGGCACCCTTTGAACGCAGACGAGTCTGCCCGCCGAAACAAGCAACTGCCTGAGACATTCTCGCAAATCTGGTCTCCGTTCGGTTCTGAAACAAGCGCCTCGCCTGAGACATCCTCAGAAACTGCTCTGAACTCAGACGCGTCTGCTGTGTGGGAGTCCTATGGGGGAGTCCTATGGGAGAGTCTTATGGGGGAGTCCGATGTGGAGTCTTATTATTATTACTCTTCTTAGTCTTATTATTACTGTTATATTATTATTGTTCTGATTCCAAGTACGATTGGGATACCACCCGAGCCAGGGTGCGGGAATTATTTATGTTCCTTCCATTTGCGCGGTGCTAATCATATCGTTCGGCGAAAACCACAAATAATCATTTAATTATGGTGTGGCGCTAATGATAACACCGGGGGGGGGTCCTTAATGGCTTCCTGAGGTTAATCCTGCTACTGGCATGCGTTCATCAGAAAATTATTGAAACACATTGGGGAAAGCAGACAACTGCCATGTAACGGCCAAGTGCGCGAGGGGGAGAGCAAGGGGAGCGATGAGGAAGCGAAAGGGCACGACCCGGAGTGGGAGCAGGACATCGAGAAGAGAAGGACCGATGCCCCCCCAAGGCGGCCAGCTGCGACAGGGGCAAGCGCAGACGCGTCTGGAGGTTCCAGTTCATGGGAGGGGGCAGCGGCAACAACCACCTCACGGCGCACCTGCTCAAGGGCAAGGCCGCCGAGGCCGCCGCCGAGGCGGAGGCAGGGGCGGAGGCCGCCTCGCAGTGGCCGCAGTCCGCCGACGAGGAGCTGGACGAGGCGGAGTCGCAGGCGCCGGAGGACGCCGTGGAGGCGGAGGACAGCCGCGAGCCCGCTGCCGATGTTGCGGCGGGCTCGCTGGGCGAGGGCGTGGAGGACGCCGGCTCCGGCGGCGGCGCTGGCGCGCCCGCGGCCCAGTCCGCGGAGGGCGCCGCGAGCGACGCCGCCGCGGAGGGCGTTCGCGGGCGCTGATGCGGCGGACGCCGCGGAGGGCGGCGGGCTCGGCATCTTTTTTGGTTCCCCCAGGGGCCTCGCCATCCAAGAAGGCGGCGACAGTGCAGCGGCGACAAGGCCTCGCCATCCAAGAGGGCGGCCGTCATGGTGCTGATGGAGCGGAAAGCGCTGCCCCAGAAGCCGCTGGAGATCGAGGACTGAGCGGCATCAGCCTTGACGTCGCAGAGTCGCCGTCGCGCGCGCGTCGTCGTGAGCTGTCGCAGGCGCCCGGCTTCGTGCGCTTTGCTGCAAGTGTGCGTTTGGATTGGGATGGACAGCGCGAGAGGACGCTCTCTTGAGTGCTGCCATCACTGTCGGGGTAATGACAGCAAGCGCTTCCTGTTGCGAGAAGCGAGAGGCAGGTACTGAGGTCTCCCCGAAAAAATGATCCGGGACGGGCGATACATTGTAGAACAGGTACGTCAAACAAGGAACCAACATGCCAGTATGTGCCTCACGGAAAGTTGTGATTCCCGGTCGGCCTTGGGGACAGACAGAAGACATGGAGTTTAGGCTGTCGAACGAACGAGAGACGACAACCTCCGATCTCTCATGGCAACATGTCTTGTCGCCTGTGTCTACTGTAGGCTGGGAGCACTGCCCCCGTTTCTCCCGCTGCTCCTCCTCCTGCGGCGTCTTGGGCTCTGGCAGGCCGACCGGCTCATCGACTACGACGCAATGATGAGGCGGGCCCTCCTCCGAGGGCGGCGTCGGAGATGACTGGCGGTGACCGCCACCACGGCGAGGATGTCGCAGTGGCAGTGATGTGCACGGCCGTAGCGAAGAAGAGCCGGGTGACGTTGGTGACGACAGGCGTGGTCAAAAATTAGTGAGGATGTTGGTCACGATGGCGGCGATGAGTGTTAGGGCCACGACGGCAACGAGGATGCCGGTGGCGGGAATGACGATTGTGGTAAAGAGCAGGATCGCAATCACACTTACGTCGTAATACGACAGTGGGCACTGCTGCGGGGACGCTGGATATTTCCGCGACAGAGGTTTCGATTAGATCCTTCTCTTGGCGGCAAGCCCCGCCACCGTGCTAGCGAAGACAGCCAAGGATGTTCAGCTTAAGAGCCGTCGAGTTCATTGCCCTGTCGGAATATCCGCGGCTCCTGTCTTGAACACCTCCTTCTTGTCCTCACTCTCATTATTTTCCTCATCCTCCTCCTCCGTTCTTCCTCCTCCTCCTCAACACCTCCTACCTCTTGAATATTGAAGGCATCTATATTCGAGGCTTCCCGAGGCATCTTTGGGGCCTTTTGGAAGCTTCCAGAGGGCCCTCCTGCTGCCATTCCAGGGGCGTCCTGGGGGCCTCTTAGTCAGGACCGTCTGCGGCGAGATGGTTTCACTTCTGTTTTCTGGAGGGGTTGAGCTGATTATCCTGAGAACCTCCGGGCGGCTTTGGAGGCTGTCTTGCAGTTCTCATGGGCCGTCGTGGGGGGGGGGTGTTCTCGGGCAGTCTTGGGGCTGTCGTTGGTACCTCTTGGAGCCATCTTGGAGGCGTCTTAGGACTGTCTGAACCCTCAGGCGCCACCTGAGGCGATCTGAACCTGAACAACCCGGAAGCGAAACATCTACACTCATCCAAGTTTCATTCCTTGTGTTATCTTCTGGCCTCGCTGGAGACCTCCCTGGGTGTAAAAAGGACGAAGGACAAATTGGTCACTGAGACCACTGCGACGGAATTCCGAATTCACGTTATTTTCCTTCTGATCTCGCTGTGACCTCCAACTCTCATGTCACTCGCGATTCAGCTCTGGCCCATACCGAAAGCCGACCGAAAACAGGGTTTGACCACTATCATATCCAGACTAGACTGGACACACAAATCGAACTGACATCTGAGGTTCAAACCGAATCTGGATAGTTCTAAAGCCACAGCCATCGGAGCGAAACTATAGCTGCCCGCCCGGCTGAAATCAAACCAGAGCCAGGCCGAACTCAGACCTCACGGTCACTCCTTAGGAAGACTATTATTTCAACGTTTCGGGGCCCCGTGGGGGGCCTTCTAGAGGTATTTTTTAGTTTGTATTGATACTCTGGATGGGATATAAGTTAGGCTTGACTATCCTAGGGGTAACTTGATGGGATAAGTTAGGCTTGCTTTCTGGAATCGTGTTGCGGCCGTTTTAGAGATGTTGGGCCGTTCATTCGGGCCGTGCAGAGGCCGACCAAGTGCAGACGGAAAGCGAGATTTGGGGGGGATTTTTCTGTGCGCGCGTGCGGCGAGGGGGGGGGGCGCCCCTGGAACCAGGAACAAACAGACGACCAACCAACATTCTGGCACGAACTGGCGTGCCGCTGGCATTGTGGCGGATCGTGATGATTGAGGCGAATCGGCACATCCAACGTAGTAGTCTGCTCCTCTACGGGGGGATGGGACGCATGGGACATGGGGACCTTCAGTGTCCTCTCCTCCCTCCCTCATCCTCCCTCCCCCTTCTCCTCCCACTCGTCCACCCCTTTCCTTCTTCCTCCCCCTCGTTTGGCCATGCGTCTGCGGATGTCGCGTCCGGCTCCCGCCCCTCCCCAGACGTCGGACGTCACAGCTTTGCGCTCGTGACATGGCCCCCCCCAGTCTCTCGAGCCCTTGGCGCGCGGAAGCAAAACGCTCGACTTCGGCGGCAAGACGCCAACCAGAGCGTCCCCAGCATGGTGGAAGTGGGCCAGTGTGTCGGTCTGGCCAGCGCCCAACAGCCTGGAGCCTGCCGTCCTTCCTGGACAGTTTGTTCGACGGCCCCGGGCCCGCAATGGGCTCATTGGGGGGGCAGAGGGTGGAGGAAGGAGACCCGACCCGTCACGAATTTGTCCTCCGTGGCTGCCTTGAGAACGACTGCAGCCGACACGATGGTCAAGGACAGCCTCAGCTCTTGAGGAGTGCCCACACGTAAGGTTTTGGTTTGGGGGCCTTCCTGGGGGCCACCTCACGGGTCCGCCCGACCTTAGTTCGAATCCATTTCGACTCTAGCTCGACTCAAGTTCGATTCAAGCCGACGGACCGTCGACGCAGCATCGACTCATGGGTGGAGCGAGTGGCCTCAACGACCATCTAGCCAGAGCATCCGACTGGACGATCCCCGGAACTCCGAGGAGGAAAAGGTATTGACACCGCTACCCCTCCCTCGTCGCCACGGCTGGATTCTCTTCGAAATCCTGGACAGCACGCACCCCGGGAAAGATCCGCGGAGTAGCGGTTGCGGTACTTCTGCGATTCCCCTAAGAATGAGCATTTGACTGGAGGGGCGCCACACGTGTCTTTCGTGTTGGGGCCCTCCGCCCTGGAGCGCTCTTCGCCGCCTGGGGCACCTCGGTGGGAGCCCCGGGCCTTCGGCGAATAGCTGACGCCTCCGGCCCACGCGTCGCACGGCCTCGTGCCCCGGCTGGCGGGCCCGCTTCTTTCCCCCCCCCCCCCCCCTTCCCAACCCGGCGGCCCTTTTGGGAGCGTCTTGGGGGCCTTTTCAGTCAAGGCCGTCTGCGGCGAAATGGTTTTACCGAGGTTTTCTGGAGGGACTGGATTATCTTGAAGTCCTCTGGGCGGCTTTGGAGGCCGTCTTGGAGCTCTCGTGGGCCGTTGGAGGGTGTGTGTGTGTGTTCTCGGGCCGATGACGGCCGTCATCTGGGAGGGGGAGGGGTGGCCGATGACATCACGTTTCGCGCCAGCGGCGTCTGGGAATGCCTAGTAATGACCGA